TGAAATGCTGAAAACATCTGGAACACTGCCAGGAGAATACAAGATTCAGTTACAGGAAAATGCTAAAGGAGTTATCCATCCACCACGTTGCTTAGCAGCATCGCTACGCAATAAAGTTGAAGAAAAACTTAAAGAAATGCAAGATGATGGATTTATTACTCCAGTACATAAACCTACTGAATGGGTTAGCTCCATGGTTGTTTCGTTCAGGAATGACAAAATTAGAATATGTATTGATCCAAAAGATCTCAACAAAGCAATCAGACGGGAACATCACCTGATGAAAACTATTGTAGATGTGATCACTAATATTCCAGATTCGAAGATATTCTCAGTTCTCGATGCCAAGTCAGGGTTTATGCAAATAAAGCTTGAAAGAGAATCTTCATTTCTCACAACTTTCAACACACCTCTGGGAAGATATAGATGGTTACGATTACCTTTTAGAATCAAATCAGAGCCAGAAATTTACCAAAGAATTATGGATGAAAGGTTTCAAGGTATTGAAGGAGCATATGTCATCATAGACGACATTCGAATTGCTGGAAGAGATGTTGAACATCATGATCACATTTTGAAACAAGTCTTGCAAGGAGCAACGGAACACAATGTAAAGCTGAACTATGACAAGTGCAAGATAATGCAAAATATTGGCCATATCTTGTCAGAGAAAGGTTTAGAACCAGATCCAGCAAAGATAAAGGCAATTATTGACATGCCAGCTCCTCAAGAAAAAGATGGAATCAGAAGATTTCTAGGTTTAATTCAGTACCTAGCAAAATTTATTCCTAATCTAAGTCAAGCAGATGCTCCAATACGAAAGCGTCTAAAAGATGATATAGAATTTCAATGGAATCATGAACAAAACAAGAGTTTTGAAGAATTGAAACATCTTTGTGCAAATCCTCCAGTTTTGTCATATTATGATGTCAACAAGAACGTAGAGATAGAATGTGATGCAAGTAAAGATGGACTGGGAGCAGTATTACTCCTGGAAAGTCGTAAAATTGCATACGCATCCAGAGCAGATGCAGAAACAAGATATGCTCAAATTGAGAAGGAAATGCTTTCAATTGTGTATAGTACAAGCGAATTTCACTGCTACATATTTGGTAAAAAAGTAACTGTTTATAATGATCACAAACCTCTGGAGCAAATCTTCAAGAAACCTCTATTGTCAGCACCAATGAGAATACAGAAGATGTTAATAAGACTACAGTGGTATGATCAGAAAGTCTGTTACACAAAAGGCAAGGAAATGTTTATCTCCGATACACTTTCTCGTGCACATCTACCAAATACTGATATACAGACATGTGAATTTACAGATGATTCAGTGCATATGATCTCTGTAAGTGATTCGAAATACAGTGAAATTCAAGACTGTACTTGCAAAGAACTTTCAATGCTTCGGGAAGTAATTATGACTGGTTGGCCAGAGACTCCAATTGAAGTCAGGCCATATTGGGATTCAAGAGACCAGTTATCTACTTCGGATGGTATTATATACAAAGGTCTGAGAATAGTCATGCTACCAAGCTTACAAAAAATACACGCTGAATCTGATTCACAAGTCTCATTTAGGAATAGTCAAGTGTAAGCAGAGAGCCAGAGAAGTCATGTGTTGGCCAGGCATGAATGCAGACATTGAAGTGACAGTTAGGGATTGTAGCAGGTGTGCTGAGCATCAGAATCAAAATGTGTCAGAACCACTAATATCTACCAAGACATCAGATCTCAAGAAACACGTTGACTCCGAGAAACAGTCTCAAAAACATTATTATGATAAAAGGAAAGGAGTTAAAAGTCATAATCCACTACAAGACGGAACGGAACCAGGAACAGTAGTTTCTAAACATTCTAAGCCTAGATCATATAATGTCAAAAGTGGAAATAAGGTCTACAGAAGAAACAGAAAAAAAACATCAGAAAGTCTTCTGAGAAAGCAAACAGATTTGACAATAATTATGACTTTCCAGATGACAACTCAGAACAACCAGAACAACTAGATCTAGAGAGTCCAAGATTACAAACTACAATAGATTTTGAGCCGCCACTACACACTGCTTCTTCTACACCTCTAGACCACACGAACCTTACGTAACACGCTCTGACAGAATAGTTAACAAACCCAAGAGACTTGATTTGTGATTGAGTGATTTGACTTTTTAGTTGACTAGTTTGTTAGTTATTTTGATAGATAGATTTTCTGAATTAAAGAAGAGAGATGTAACATATAGGTATTACATGTACATTTGCAAATTAGCGCGTCTGTGCAACACCGCTTGTGGTTACGTAATAAATTAGTTCCTAATATGTCTTCCCTCTTAAACAATAGTTTGTTATTTGTGTAACACAAATATTCTACAGTTTACTTCCTAGTCCAAAATTCCCGCAAACGACGGAGGATGGGAGCGGGCAGGGTTTGAACCCGGGACCATCGATAAATCCAAACAACAGTCCAGGGCGCAAACCGCACGGCCAGGCAACCATCATAGTCTAGGAACATTTTTATGCTTTTTTCCGTGTATTTCTGGAACAATTTTTCCTATAGCAAAAGATGCCTCGAGAGCACTGCAATGACGTTCCTTTCCCCAATAAGCAGAACTGTTACATGCAATATTGCCGCAATGCAGCCACAATTCAGCAAGAAGCTTTTGATTATGATCGAGTACATCTCTTGAGACAAGAAATATTATTTCAATGCAGGATATAACATAAGTAGTATCTAAACCGCAGTCATCAGTGAGAACTTCCTTGTCTTTCCATAGCCCAAAATTCTGCTCTATTCTACATCGACTAATCCGCCAATTTCTTTAAAGATTTCACGTTGAAGCAGGAGTATCTTAAATAACAATAAATGTTCACTCATATTGTTTCCATTTCGATTGGTAGACTATTGATAATAAGCTGTTCTGCTTGTTTTCGTGTGAAAAACGCCAAATGATTCTTTTCTGACTTAGGCCTACATTTATTTGTCTTGCCTGAAGATCGATGGCTTCGAATGCCCATTGTATGGACGCATCACTCACATTTTTTAGTCAATTTTGAATACACTCTGGTTCTTGTTATAAAGGATCTAGGTCTGTTGTTATTTCGTTGCGATATTACTTGTACCCATTGGCGTAGCCAAGATTTTTTCAGGGGTAGTGGTGCTGTTTTTTTTGGGGGGGGGGGATTTTTAAAATCTCCCACCCGCCTTATATGTGTGTGTGTGCGCGTGTGTTGTGTACGTAATTAATCCTTTTTAAATACCGACTCATTTTTTTTGGAATTTAGTGGAAAGACAGTAGACATCCCGCTCCAGCCAGGAGCACTGTGAGCTACCCCAGCGGAACCAGGCCGCAGCAAAGCACTATTTCGGTAATTTAATCAAAAGAAAATTATATTCTCAGGTATCTACCAAATCTGTTATTCCCTACACTTATTACTTTCTGAACCAGAAGACGGATTTTTAATTTCGGGTACCTGACATTAGTTGGGGAAAAGTAAAGGCGGTTGGTCGTTGTGCTGTCCACATGACACCCTCGTTAACCGTTATTCACGGAAACAGATGACCTTTACATCATCTGCCCTATTAACCACAAAGTCTGAAAGGGGAACTTAACTTTTTGTATAAAAGTTTTATTTTTTTTTACATCAAAACCCCCATTGGCTGAGCTGGGGTAATTGATGGTTTAATATTAAAATCTCACTTTAAAAAAAACACAATTAAAGCAAACAAGGTTAGACAGTTTGTGTGGAAACATAAACTCAAAATCGGCCCCGAAGTGGTCCACACAGGCAGGTAAAAAGGCAGGTTTAAATATTTTCAGAAAGAATATCAGAATGAAATTCTATCAAAGGCAAATGACAGAGAAGAATGGAGAAAGAAGGTTGATAGATCTTGTGTGGTGCCCTAACGGTCCACCAGACCAAGGGATAGGTGCTAGAGAAGGTGAAGTTCGATGTGAACCTGGCCTAACTGATGTCATATAATGAGTATCTAAATGATCGAATTGTTTTGTAAAGGGTCATTTAGTTACGTATTCAGTGGCAATAATGCCACACTGCAATTCACGAGATTACCTGTATATGAAAAACTAATTAATTGTTGTTTTAAATTATGTTCTACTTATTTGCATTTTCAATAAAAAACAAATAAACATTTTTTTTTATAAACATAGTAGTTAATATGACAGCTTTGAGTTTTTGGCACATCGGCACAATTTAGGCCATGTCGTTAATATGACAGAACTTTTTTTAACTTGGCAAAAACAATGTAAAATAATTTATTTTTTTTGACAAAAAATCTAAAACCGTTTGCTAAATGTGTTAAAAATATGGTAAATAGTCATCTCCATTACTAAATAGGCTCCCGTGTTTGTAACTATTAATAGTAGATAGTTGTAAAAATGGTGTATTTTTATGAAATAACTGCTTGCATAGTTGATTTAAAAAATTACAATTTTTACTTTCAGAAAAGAAAAAAAAAGTAGGCGTTGCTTCAGAACTTTGAATGGTCTAAAATATTATGGTGTCGGATTTTGACTATCTTTTCTAGTTTACGAGATCTAAACGGGACGGACGGACGGACAGACAGACGATATAAAACTACTTGCGACTTTTTCCTTTCAGGGGCCGCTAAAAATCCATCAAACCCCCCCCCCCCCAGCTACGCCCTTTGCTTTTACAAATTGTTATGAGGTGTGTGTGTGTGTGTTTCGAAGGTGATTGAGTATGTTCACTGAGTTGAATAGCTCCTTTGCATCTCGTACTATACCATTGTAGCACTGAACTAGCTACGTCATCGCTACATTTACATCATTTTCATTCCTCGGCCCATTTCTACTAACTCATAGCCATGGTTTGTTCTGGATCTAATGACCTCGGCATAGAGGGTCACGCGTTGTATTATTCTGAATTGTAGAGATTGCAATTTGTGATACAGCGCAGTTTTTGTCTATATAAACCCAACTCCATAATAATAAGTGATTTAAACAAAGTAAAATGAAACCTGCTTAAAAAATGTAGAAACAAATGTTCATTTATTGATCTTCATGACTTTCATGTCTTCGCATGTATTGCCACCCCTTACATAAAATGACATTAATTAAACAATGACACAAACACACGAATTAATTTGACTAAGGCGTAATAAAATGTACAATATCATAACTATAGTATAAATGAACATGAAAACAAATCGCTATACGAAATGCTTAGAACACTAACACATCTTTTCTCTCAAACTATTGGGCCATAGTGTCAACATAAGCAGTCTGTAATCACATTTTAGATGAAGTACACAGACAGAAATAGAAATTTTATTGACTTTTCTACTATTTGTTTTTATTTTTGCATACAAACCTTTGCTAAGAAGTGTACAGACCTTCATGTTGAAATACTTTATTTAGGTAGGCCTACACACCCTGGAATTAAACATGTGTGTTCAATTGCAATCCTAAATAGGTAATAAGACAGTTTTCGATTAAACTGGCGATTTTATTTACATAATTATAATATTAATGTGTATAAGAAATGACATCAAAATACAATTTCTTAATTGTTCAGCTTTGAACCAACAGAAACAAATGAGCTGACACAAAATCACGAGCTTAATTTGTTGATTGGTCTAAAGGGATAGTTTGCCTCTTCATAATCCGACAAACTCAATAATTCAACGCGGCGCCCCCGACCTAAACTCATGTAATTCATGAGCACCTGAATGTCTACAGGTGTGTCCTTCAATTGTAAGTTAGTACAGTACCGGTCAAAGAAAGCTGAAATCTAGTTTTGTGTTTTTTTTAAAGATCAATACCTATTTCTTTTTCGTCTGTAGTTTATTGTATACCCATCTAAAGCTAAGAGAATCTCTTTTTACTTCATCTATGGAACTTCTTGCCCTACACCGTTCAATTCTTTCAAGTACAGCTAACCTTTGGACTATCAAGAGTTCAATTCTTTCAAGTACAGCTAACCTTTGGCCTATCAAGAGTTCAATTCTTTCAAGTACAGCTAACCTTTGGCCTATCAAGAGTTCTATTCTTTCAAGTACAGCTAACCTTTGGACTATCAAGAGTTCTATTCTTTCAAGTACAGCTAACCTTTGGACTATCAAGAGTTCTATTCTTTCAAGTACAGCTAACCTTTGGCCTATCAAGAGTTCAATTCTTTCAAGTACAGCTAACCTTTGGCCTATCAAGAGTTCAATTCTTTCAAGTACAGCTAACCTTTGGCCTATCAAGAGTTCAATTCGTTCAAGTACAGCTAACCTTTGGACTATCAAGAGTTCAATTCTTTCAAGTACAGCTAACCTTTGGACTATCAAGAGTTCAATTCTTTCAAGTACAGCTAACCTTTGGACTATCAAGAGTTCATTTCGTTCAAGTACAGCTAACCTTTGGACTATCAAGAGTTCAATTCTTTCAAGTACAGCTAACCTTTGGACTATCAAGAGTTCAATTCGTTCAAGTACAGCTAACCTTTGGACTACCAAGAGTTCACTGCAGAATAAATTCATACATTTCAGGTGTATTGGATTTCACTTTAGTTCCTCCTCTGGCGATTGAATTTTTCATATCTTTGAACTTAATGAACACATTAATAATGCATGAATACATCTAAGGTTATCATTTTTTTGCTTTCATTTAGACGTAAACAATGTTTTAGCATAATTGATAAGCTGGTTCAATACAATAGAGACCGAGTGATAATAATAATTTTGTCAGCTTGTTTCAATATGTGCAATATCACTGGCCTACATATTTTTACCAAACGATGCTATATCACTTGTCTACATATTTATGTCAAAAATAGTAACCCTTTTACATAAGTTTATTGCGGACTAAATTTAAAAAAAACAAAAGAAAAAACATTTTTATGTAAATTGAGACATTATTTTTCCTTGCACAAATAATGATTTTGTGTATTGAAATGGGGTGATGGAATCACTGCATATTAAACTGTTGAATAAAGTAATAAACATGCTACTTCAACATCTAGATACATGTACAAAAAGAACCCCATGCACAGCTTGAATTAGAAACTATTATTGCTTAGTTGAACACAGTCTAAACAACACAGCAGCTCACATAGCTAAACACGTCTTAAAAATGTGTCAAGAAAATAATTTTATAATTAGTGTAGAATTCTAAAGAGATTCTGTTTTGCTAATATGAGGCAAGATTGTTTTCAAATTTGCTTGACCCTAATTCAAAGAATTTTTTTGAAGTTGTTATGAAGTGAAAGTGGCTTTGTACGAGGCAGAATTCAATGGCAATAGATAAGTGACAAAAAAAGCCATTTTTGTTAAGCTCCATAGAAGGAGGTTTGAAAATATTTCCATTAGATCTATTGGGGTATTGAGATAAGAAAAAAAACAACATGACGTCACCAATCTGAAACAACAAAAATATAAGCATATATTCAAAGTAATATCCATGTTGCAATAGCAATACAGAAAAGAGCTTGTGAATTAGAAATAGTCAAATAATAATTGATATTTCTAATTAATCTTTTGATTTAGTTACAACTCAGACAAAATACATTAAAAAAATAACCAAATACACAATGAATAAAGAATTGTACAAGTGTGGAGACAGTAAGGCACAAGCAGTTTTGAGACATAGGCCTAACTTAAAAGATTGTAAACAGAACAAAATTAGTTAGCTATGAAATTAAAATATAACATAATTGTTGATCACTACAATTGGGCACAACAGAAAGTTACAAACAAGGTGAAGACTAGGGCTTCCAAGAGTCCATGCTTCTTTCAAGGGCTTCTGAAGGCTAGGACTGCTAAGAGTCTACCCTTCTTTCATGCACCTCGAGTCCACTACTCTCTCCTGGTTACCAAGTCCATCTTTCTGCATTCTTCAATTATGAGTTACTCAGCTCTCTCCCAGTCTATAGTGGGCAGGCCTAATAATGGGTACAGTTCCTGACATAGTACATAGTAGTTATTCATTGTTCTGTAATATGACACACTCTTTAACTCTACCAACCTGGATGGCCTCAATAGTCCCAGGTTCAAACCCTGCCTGCTGCCATCCCCAGCCATCCTGTGGGAGGCTTGGCTAGTTTGTATAACAAACATTTTTACTTGACTTCTAGTTCCAAGAAATATCCTCTTTTTCTTATTAGCCCTATTCAAGCTTGAAAGGTATGTCTGCATGAATGAGCAAGGTTAGGTTTCAGTCATTGGAGTGAAGGCTGAAACTCATTCTTTAATGGTATTTGTTTGGTAGTATATTAGAAAAATCAGTTGAATGATCATAGTCTAGTTTAGTCAAAGTAGACAATTGAGAACAAATTTATTATTTTTTAAACAGAGGGCTTTTGTAAAAGAGTTTTATCAAAATACACAGATCAAACAAATTGAGACTGTATATAAATACAAAGGAAATATGCAGATATTTTAAACCAATGGTATGGAATAACATATTAAACAGTACATAATAGAAGATAGAAAAATATAACATTTCTATGAAACAATTGAAGTCAACATTTCAAATTTAAAAGCAAATTCATTTGAAGAGATCTATGCACACACACACAAATAAATAAATAAACAACAGAAATTGGGCTATAAATAAAGGTCCATAAATGCATAGAATAAAATCATAAATTCCCTTCTTGCATACAATAAGAGGAAATGTTACAATTGACTTGAATTAATAAAAATACAAAACTTAATTCTATTTACTACCTTGACAACTAAATGAAATCAAAAGTGACTGCCTTAGTCTACCGGACCTGTGTGATGAGCATTCTGCTCTAAGGAAGTGAAATGGTCAACCTACTCAGGGCAGGAATAAAAGCCTCCGATGCCTAAGGCTGATCTTTAAAATAAGGTGGCAAGATAAAATAACCAATGAGGAAGTGCTGTGAAGGGTGCCAGGGCAGGGTGCCAGGGCAGGGTGCCAGGACATCTGCACTGTTATCAGAAGCAGACGCCTTGGCTGGCTTGGTCACATTCATAGAATGCCACAATGTCGACTCCCACAAGACATATATGGTGATCTAAGAGAAGGCAGGAGAGCCACTGGTCATCCACTTTTAAGGTATACTGATTTATGCAAATGCGACATGAAGCTAATCAAAATCTACACTAACAGTTGCGAAAAAGTGGCACTGGATAGATCCACATGGAGAGCAAGCTTAAAGGAAGGGTCCCGAATTGCTGATGCCATACACAACAGTAGTAGAAAGAAGGGTGAATGTGCAATGGTGCCAGGTGAATACAGATTTCTGACCTGTGACTGCAGCTGTGTATTAAGGATTTGCCTCTTTGGTCACACAAGAAGTTAAAAAAGGAAAAGATTGTCTCTAGAGGTGAAAAATGCCTTAGATTTTCAATACATAGCTGCCTGCCATGTCCATAGCATACACATCTAGCTTATACGAGTAGTATTTTCAAAGTGATTTACTCAGATTTGTTTTTCATTTCAATGTTGAGTTATTGTTGTAGGTGGTGCAGCTATTCTTTAAGGACATGACCATATTCTAAAGGCAATCTTTCAAGCTTAAACGAAAACATTTTGAGACCATCACAGACATCGTCTAATGGTATAGAAAATACCTTGCAGCAACTAATTTACAAAAGCTGGAAAACTCTTACAAAGACATTTTCCTACCAAATCAAAGTTGCAACCAAAAAAAAAACAGGGCAGCTTTCTTTGTCACACTTTGATCTTTGTATTGATGTTATATACTCAACTCTTTTCTTGATGTTTTCATTGGAAGATGATGTAGTAATTCAATTCAATGGTTTCAATTGAAAATATATAACAAAACTGGTTCCTTAAATTAAGTTTTGACTTAGAAAGTCCATGTTTACAGATAGATTCTTTTACACTCTATCATAAAGCATCCACACTGATGCAATCATCTGATCTAACAATAAAACAATTGACTTGTTATTACAACGTATAGTCTGTATTATAAAATAAAGGTTTTTATTTGGTAAATGAAATAAGTCTATGTATGACTATAAGTATATCTATTTGTTACCAACATACAAAATGTCGATCTAGAAATGAATAAAAAATTTATGATTGGAAATCATATTTGTGCTATTAGATGAAATATTCATGATTTATTGATAAATATTCTCAGAGGGTGTGCTATGTTTACAAAACTTATAATTGAAAGAATTGGGACCTCTAAATATCTGTGTAAGAAGTTGAACAGTAACAAATTCAACCCAAGAAGACAAGTTTTATATGTAATTACATTATGGTGTATAACATCGTTAGTTAAATTAAAAAAGTATCTATTTTGTAGTGGTGATCCTAACTTAATAAAAGTATTTAGTGTTGATACTGGTGCTCTTATACACATTTCCAACAATCATTTGTCAGTTCAGAAATAAAAGACAATCTGTAACTGTAGAATCAACTATTGGACTGAGAACAGTGCTAACCTCTGGCTAAGATGATCAATAATAATTCAAACAAGCATTGCTTTAAGGCACATCAAAGAAAGTTGATTCTAAAAGAATGAGAGCATTGAAATTCAAGAAATATAGAACAAGATTTTGTTTGGTTGCTATAATGATCTTGAGATGGCAGATGGAAGACCTTTATTAGCATATGATGTTTCAATGTAAATAAAATATTGACTTATAACATTTAATTATACAATTTGCGATGCATTAAAATGATATTAAGATTTCATGGTAAAATACATGTTTCATTGTAAGGCTATAAACTCTAGTCAATTTAAGAAAAAATATTTTCTTAAAGTTTAAAAAAAAAAGCTTTTTCAATGAAATATTACAAAATTAGTTACAATTAAAATTATTGAATGATATTTTTGAAGTGAAATTTGTGTCCATAGTGAATACAAAAAATGGAATGTTTACATTTTATCTGTGAATATTTTGACATATGCCTGTAAAACAAGTAAATGAAATATTTTCTCTTTTACACAAGA